CAAAACAATCAATAAAAGATAAAACAAAATAGAGATTTGGGAATATGGAATATGCCTGCTCTAAGGCCATAACTGTTAGGATGGGCCCACTGTGTGTGAAGATACAAATTAAATAATCACACAAAGAACAAAGGATTGGATTTAGAGTTAAGAAGATTAAGTATACTTTCTGGCTCATTCCTCAAATGCTCTACCTGATCCACATTCACAGACTTGCCACATAATGGGGCCTGTAGGTTCCCCTAAAGCTACAAAACTCTTCTTTGACTCCCTTTCCCCCAACCCCACCCAAGCCCCAAACTCTTATTAAAATATTCCACACTGCTATTTCCCTTTCTCAAAATTGAGCTGTAGGAGAGTGAACCGAAAAAGGAAGAGAGACTGAGTCTGTTAAGCTATTCTAGACACATTTCCTCTTTGTCTGTGTCCAAAACAGGTCCCATGATGGCTTTTCTCTTGGTCCCCACCTCCATAGCTGAGCTTCCTCCTTGTTGAGGCATCCAAGTGTCTCATGTCTCTCCTCCTGCCAGCTCTTTTACTCCAGCCTGGCAGCCTAAATCTATTTTCACTGAACTTCAAGAACCATGAAGAAGCCATCTCTGACTAACTGGGGAAAAGATAGCGTATTCCTCCACTTGTCTTTCTCCAAAGGTGCTCCCTGTACTCACAGCTTTTAAACATCCAGCTCTTTCTTGTGCCCATATGACTGTAGTTCACCTCCAACTCAGTGTCTGTCTTTCTCTGCCCCTCTGATGGCTGGGTTAGATTGTGAAACTCTCAGAGTTCCACACTCTCCTTTCTGTCCAGGCCCTGCTCAGTGGAGCTGCAGACACAAATAGGCACTTTGTAAAAACCTTTGAACATGGAAACACAGGAGCAGCACTCTGCCTGCAGAGGAGCATTAAGTGCACAGAAAGCAATCTCCTTCTGCAGCTTGAGAACCAGCCACACTATTTCTTGTTGGTGAAGCAGAGGAAGCACTCCTTTCCTTATGTGACAGCAGCAATGCAATAAGGTGGCAGCACTGTTCTCATTTGATGGGTGTGTGATGCTCAGAAAAAAAAAAAAAAGAAACTCAAGCAACGGGACTATTGTGAGGCACAGAGAGACTGTGTACTGGACTCAGTCCTAAAACTAGGGCTAACTGGCTCTGGAGATCTTAACCTACCCATCATGGCACATTTTTCCTCGTAGTGAATAAGAGCACCTTAAGCCAAAATTGGTGAGGAAGAGGTTTCCAGCTGCACTCCTGTCCCACCCTCTCATGGTTTCTTGAGCCCTGTACAAGCCCAGTGAGTGACAGAGAGAAAAGTGTTCCCCTGATTTCAGTAAGGAGCCAAGTTTACTCTCAAGCATTTGCTTATGCCTCATTCCTCTCCCTCCTCCTATCTTCTCTTCTCAAACATGTTAAACATTTTCACACTTAGGTCTTGGAACTTGCAATTTGCTCTTCTTCTAGATCTACGCATAGCTTGGTCCTTATGACTTAGGTAACAGCTCCAATGGCACATTCTTCGGAAGGCTAGTCCTATACTCTCTCCGATGCCGTAGAATCTTTTCCAAACCCTTCCCTTTCATTCTTGTCTAGACCAATTTCCTGTGTTCCTTTCAACGTGGCATTGAACGAGTGGCACTTTACTAGTTTACTTGTCTCACTACAAATGTCAGCTTCAGGAGAAGAGAGACCTTATGTGTTGTGTTCACTCCTGGATTAAACAGTCCCCACTGCCTGAAACAGCAGCTGGCACACTGTAGGTGTCCAATAAACATTTGTTAAATAAATGCATAAGTGAATGAATACATGCGACATCCTTTGTAGGCATGTGCAAAGGTAGCACTGGCTGCACCCTCCAGTTGCCACTCACCATATTTATTACAAGCCCTTGAAAGGAAAAAAAAAACCCCAAATCTTTATTTTTGGCAGCCTTTCAGTCCTTAGAGCAGTGGTGAATGACTGGGGATGGGGGAGCTGTTCAGTTCCTTTGTTTGGGCAGAAAATGAGGAATCCAAGGAACATAGAGAAAAGAACAAGACCTTGAAACTACTGAGGTTGCAGACAGTGCATCTCTCATGGCCAAGTGTGGACAACTGCTGGACAGCTCTCTCCTTGAAAAGATCAAAATACTGAATTCTCTTCCCCATCCCTATCCCTCCTCTCTTCCCACACCCCCTTCTATAGAGAGTTTCTCTCTTCTGCTTCTTTTGTCTCCATTCCTCTTTGAAATTATGTAAAGAAAAATGAGTGGTGTGTGGAGAAATGTATCCTCCACAGATCCACATATATCCAATGTTACTCTTATTGCCACAATACCAATGCCACTATATTTAAATCTCCTGGCTTCTGCACAGACAAAGCAAACTCCCTAAATATAGCAATCATATACATAAAGTTCTTGATTTTATCCAATCTTAATTCTGACATAACTCCCTGTCCCTCCCTCCCACATAACAATAGAACCAATTGCTTTATTGGAGTTAACTTTTTTATTCAGTGCTATATTTATGAAACATGATGAAAATGATGAACAAGAAAGGAAAGCTCTAACCTCTAAGCCATTATATTTTGATCACTTTCAAAGCATTTCCCTCCCCCCCCCCCCACTCATCACCTTCTGCATCCTCCCAATATGTTCATCAAGAAACAGGGGGATATAGTAGGAGTTGTTGCTTATAAGGCACAGACATGAGAAAGTTACCCTGGGGGCAAAGAGACAGTACAGGGAGCAGGGCACTTACTTTGCATATGGACAAACTAGGTTCAATCTCTGGCATTTTATATGGTTCCTCTGATCAGTGCTGGGAGTAATTTTTGAGTGCAAAACCAGGAGTAACCCCTGAATATCAGTGGGTGTGGCCCAAGACAAAAAAAGAAAAAAAAGGAAGGAAGGAAGGAAGGAAGGAAGGAAGGAAGGAAGGAAGGAAGGAGAGAGGGAGGAGGAGGTAGGGAGGGCGGGTGGGAAGGAGGAAGGGAAGGATGGGAGAGAGAGAGAGGGAGACAGAGAGAGAGAGAGAGAGAGAGAGAGAGAGAGAGAGAGAGAGAGCAAGAAAGCAAACCAAAGGTCCAAAGCAATTTGATAAAGTTCACACAGCAAGTGAAATTCCATGCAGAACAATCTGCAGTTTCTGCCATTTTCTGGAGACAAGGGTGCTCTTGCTAAAAAAGCTGACCTCCCAGCAGCCCCTGTGACATGCAGACCTGAACCAGTTCATATGATAGAAGAAAGAGTTTTAGAGGTAAGAAAGATCCATCATTGTTCTTTTGCAAAGGACAAGGGCCCTTGATGTGCTAAAATATGACCAGGATCACCCCAAACTGCAGGACCCTTTGTCGGGCCTCTCTCATCCAAGACACTCTGTCTTGTGTTTCATCTGGAGGTCCAATGTGTGTGTGTGGGGGGGGGGGTGTTAAAGAAAATGCATCAAGCCTGTACTCTGACCTCTTGCCTGAACTAAAGGCAAAACTTCATTTGAGACTTAAGGGAATCATAGTCAAAAAGAGAAGGGGCCCCATCCCAGCATTTTGAGATAGTCACACTAAGATCTGTGTCACCTCATCTCATAATGTCCAGACTGTGACTCCAGACATCCTCTATCCCTGAAGGTATTTGTCATCTCAGTAAAAATGGAGTGCATAAAGATGCCTGCTGAGCCTGCCTCTCACAGAGCAAGTTCTCAGCAATAGTCAGAGCCCCGGCGACTATCCACACAGCATCCTACTATCTAACCACTTGTGCAGGGAGCACCCAGAAGAGTTTGCTACACCTCTGGGAAATTACTGTGCAAGTGGTTGATATGACCACATATTCCAGTCAAGTTTGCAATTGGATCTTTCTTCTCCTAGCTAGATCTGATATTAACTAGATCTGATATTCTTTTTCCATTTTTTTTTTTGTTTGAAGCCCACTCCCAAAGGAGATTAGGACTTATTCCTGGCTCTATGGTCAAATATCACTCTTGATGTTGCTCAGGGGATCATATGGGGTTTTAGGGATTGAACCCAAATTGGCTGTGTGCAAGGAAAGCACCCTATCCATTATACTATCACTCCAGCCCCTAGATCAGACTTTCAGGTGAACCTATTATAGCTGAGGTTCTTTAGAAGTAAGTTTCTATCCTACCAAGCACTGAAGACACCACATTAGAGGAAAAAGCTAGAAGGGGTGGGGTGAGTGTCTGTGAAAGTCTGAGGGATAGGAAAAACCCTCAGACTTGGGAAGTTTCTGGTTTATGAGGGTCTTAACTTTCCCTATCCTGAATGGAGAAAGTTTGAGGGACACTGCAAATTGGTGTGCTAGAACAGCAAAGGAGAAGGTCAATACACCAGACTCCCTACTCCCTTCTCCATGTCATTTAATCCCACTCTCACCCTACTGCCTGTTTTGTGCCTAAGAAACTCTTGAGCCCACCAATCTGAGCCTGAGCAAACTGGATAGTCTTCTTGAGCCTTTTCCTCCTCAACTCCAAACACTCACTGCTGAGGATATACAGATAATTGTTGGAAGGCATGCTTTCAAAGTGAAGGAAAATGCTTATTGGGCTTCACTCTATGAAAACAGAGAAAGAGACTGAGATTTCCACATACTTGGAAAAGAAAAACTATCCAAACAGAATTAACAACAGACTGAGCAAAATATCACTGACAACAAATCACAGCACAGGGCCACAGCATAAACGAACCATCAAGTTCCCTCATTTTGTCATCTCTGACTTCTGGATCTCCTATTTTCAGGATGCGTATGGAATTCAAGGGTGGAATTAAAAGACTTTGGCATTGAAAGGCAAATGTAAAATCAAAGATACAGCTGAGCCCCAGGCTCCATCAAGAACCAGTCATCTCTTGGACAAACTTAAACGCAAGAAGCTTCATTGAGGAGCTCTTACCACACAGAGCCTTGCACTACTAGAAGGGCTCCCTGGGGGGCAGCGGTCGAGTTCGAATCTATAAGAACTGGAGACACCACAGGGAAGCAGAAGAAGGGAAAGGCGAAAGACAGTCTCACCTGTTCTGGCCCCTGGAAGCAGATGCGACAGAGCGGGGTCCTCATGCCACTGTCCAGGCTGCTGCCCAGTGAGTAGCGATCCTCAGCCTTCCCCTTACAGAAGTCATCTGAGGAGGCACTGCTGAGCAGCAAGGCAGGTGGCTCTGTGGCTGGGCCACCCCAGTCATCTTCCACAGAAGAAGGTGGCAAAAGTGATGGAGGGGGCAGAGGAGGGGTCTCTCTGCCTGTTCCTTCTCGAGGACCCCTCCAGCTTGCCCACCCCCCGGCGCCCAGAGCCGGAAGGGTGTTGTTGTTGGCCGCCAACCCGGGGGGCTGGGGGTCCCCGTGCATGGGCAGGGGCGCTGGAGGAGGGGGGCGCCGCAGTAGGAAAACCTTCAGGTCATTGAAGAGCATGCGGCAGCGGCACTTGAGGAGACCTTGGTGGCGGAACATCTGGGGAGCTGGGGCTCGCAGTCCACAACAGCACCAGGCACAACAGCAGCACCACCAGAGCAGCCCACTCAGGGGCATCAGCATGTGCCCAGTCGAAGCAGAGAGCCCGGGAGGGGCAGCTGGAGTCTGTGCTGAGGAAGATAGGATGCTTTGGGGAGGTCCACAGCAAATCCAAATGGGAGGTGTGGGGTGGGGGAGGGGAGTTTGCTTTCTCACTGGCTTCTTCCGATGGACTTCCAAGTAGCCACCAGATGACCCCAGGACTGAGAACTGAGTCACTGATTCTGAAGTCTACCTGGTAAACCCCAGGCCCCACCAAAATGGTTTCTTGTCTCCTTGCACCCCTACCTCAGCTTCAGACTTCACACAGGGTGTCTACTTTCTGCCTTTTAGCTGTGGGTCCCGTTATGGGGCAAGGGGAGAGCAAATGAAAAAAAAAATGTGGAGGATGGGCTCTTCTGGGGCCTTCAGATGAAAAAAATCTAATTGTTAGAAAGTTCCCCAGGAGAGGGTTATTGAGTTTTCTCCAATCCGTCAGCCGTGGGAAATCTCTTGTATAGTGGAAGGGGTGGAGGAAAAGGTGGGGGACATTAGAAATAAAAATTTGGAGGAGATGGAGCTGGGTTTCGGCCAACTAGCTCAGTCAAGAACTGAGGTTGCTTGTGCAAGCAGGAGAAGGTAGTTTTCCTGGGATCAAAGGAGACTGGGGATGGAGGTGGGAGTCAGCTGGGGAGGAGAAGTCTGGGGGAAGTTTCGATTCTCCTGGGCAGAAAAAAAGACTGGGGCAATGAACCCCCCAGCAGCACCGTGGTTTTGAAGAGAGCTGAGGGTGGGGGCAGGGTCTGCAGGGGAACCTGGGCAAGGGGCTTGTGCTTTGCCTCTGCAGCCAAAGAGCCACCAGGAAGTGGGGGGAAGCCAATTTAGGAGAAGTGAGGTGGAAAAATAAGGGATTGGGGAGGTGAAAGGAAAGTGAGGGGAGGGCAGAGAAAAGATCCTTTAACCCTTGCAGAATCGCCTCTTTCCTGAGCATTAAAATCCTGGTCAAAGGAAGGGTGCGGGGGTCGGGGAGGGGTGGCTGAAGGCTGCGGAGCAGAGAAAAGGGGTAGAGAAGAGGGGCGCGGGAGGGGATGAGAGGAAGGAGTAGTTACATGGTCTCAGCCCCCAGACCACCCCTAGCTGCAGTCTGTAAATCCGCGGTCCCCTCCCCGTGGCTCCATCAAAGGTCTCTTCGGGCTAGGGGCTCCGCGGGTCGCGAGAAGGGCCGGTCCGGGCGGGTGGGTGGCCTCGCCTTGTCCTGGGCTCCCTGCTCTGGACCGACGCGGCCCTTCTCCTCTGGCCGGGGGGTCTGCCCGCGGCCCCCGAAGCTGGGGTGGAGGCGACGGCGGCGGCGGCGGCGGCGGCAGCAGCGACTCCTCGTCGGCGCGTCCGGGTGTCTCCGGGGCGGGGGCTGCTCGGGCTCGTCCTCTGGCTGCTGTTCGCCGTCGTCCGGCGCGGCGGCCGCGACTCCCGGCTTCATGATCCTCCACCTCCTCCTCCTCCTTCCCGGGGGGCCGGCCGTGAGCCCCCGCGCCCGGGCAGCGCTGCCATGCAACCAGAGGCGAGGCAGGCGTAGGGGAGGGGGCGGCCGGGGATGCTGAAGAGGAGGAGGCGGGAGGAGGGCGGGATAATAAAGAAATGCAATAACACTCGTGGACGTAGGAGAATTCGCTTCTCCACGAAGCCGGCTCGCAGTGCACCGGGCGGGCTGGGGGCGCGGAGGAGGGCGGCGGGGTCTCCAGGCGGCGGGGCCCCGCTCCCTGCACCCGGGGCGGCCCCGGCCGGCGCTCTGCCCCCACCCCTCCTCGCCCCTCCCTCCTCCCCGCTGCCTCTGGCTGGCTGGCTGGCTGGCTGGCTGGCTGGGCTCGCTGTTGCTACCTCTCTCCGCGATGCTCTGAGGTTGGCGGTGCCAGCTCAAGGTGGGGAGGGCAGAGCCAGGCAGAGTGCGTGCCCGAGGTGGTGGGTGGCAGCCACTACTTGGCTCTCAGGCTGAGTCCTCGCGACTCGCCCCCTCACACACACACACACACACACACACACACACCTTCCCCAGACCCGTGTATAAATAGATCTCATCCAAAAGAGACGGGAGGAAGCGAATCGGATGGCAAGCTGCCTCCAGGTGTTGTCTTCCGCCGTTGCTCAGCACCCGCCGCCGCCACGGATGCCCACCCCCACCACGCCCTTGGCTCGGGTCCTCCAAGGGGTGGTGGTGCTGCAAGCAAGGTGGGGGTGGTGGTGGTGGTGGTGGTGGTGGGGCGCGGGGCTGACCGTCCGAGCGCCCGAGACGCGGTTCCTGCAGCCCAGGAGACGCTCAGCTCCTGCCGCCCCCGCCGCCGCCGCCACCGCCGCCGCTGCCGCCGCCGCTGCTGCTGCTGCATTCAGCACCCGGGCGAGTGGACAGCTCCCACCCAGACCCCGCGCGCGTCACGCACGTGGGGGCCCTGACGCAGACGCCGCGGAGGGATGGAGCACCGAAAGGGGACGAGAGAGGGGAAGAGATGGAGGGAGAGAGCGAGAGGAGGAGGAGAGAAGAAGGGAGCGAGGGAAGGGTGTGGGGAGGGACCTAGAGAAAGGAGAGGAGGAGGGATTGAGGAAGGGAGGAGTGAGAGGGATAAAGGCAAGCGGGGTGGAGAAGAGCAATTCAGGTGTTAACTCGTGCATTCTCCTCCAGCTGGAAAGTATCCTGGTGGATAGTACGGTTGTAGAATTTCTTCCCACAGGACACTGTCACCGCCCCCCATTGACGCTCACACACACACACACACACACACACACACACACACACACACACACACACACATTTCCGTACTGGTATAAGGCAGATAATCGCTTGCAAGGTTTAGAAGAGGTAAAGTTTAGTGATTCTTGCTCCGAAGTGGAGACTTGATGGAAGACGAAGTTCTTGGTGACTAGGAACTCATCGGAAAGAAAGAAATACTGCAGAGAAAAGCGAGTGCTAGCACCTTTTTTTGCCAGTTTCTTCGTGTAAAAATTAAGTCCCCAAGCAACCGTAGGAACCTCTTTATTCTGCATGCCAAGGTCAGTGGCAGTACATAAATTCTCTCTCTCTTTCTTTCTCTACATATATGCATATATATAGTATAGTCCTCATCAATCATCATTATTACAGACCATAGACTTTCAGTTTTGAGTCATAAGAAACCAGAGCAATATTATAGCTTCATCTCTACCAATATCTCTAGTTTTCTCTATCCAAGACTTACTTGACAAAAGGTAATTGGAGATACATTATTTCCTCTATTACTTCTGTGTTGGAAGAATGTTCCTAAATGTAAAACTGCAAGAAAGAAGAAATTTAATGTGGTTTGTCTATACCACATTACTCAGTATTTGTAGTTGTATATTTTGTAGTTTCAGATTTTGTATATCCTAAGCAATAAAGGTAGGATGGCTTTATTGCTTCCTTTTCATAAACACTTCTCTCTCCTTCTCTCTGTCTCCCCTTCCCTCCTTTCTTCTTTCTCTCTCTCTCTTACACACACACACACACACACACACACACACACACACACCATGTGTCTCTACAGTCATACACTTGGATAAGCCACCTCAATGAGAAATCTGTACAGCTGTAGTAACACCTTTAGAAATGATAGAGCCTTAAAGTGGTTTGCAAAATCTTGGCACCAAATCATCATTGACATGAAGTTCAACCAAATTAATCATATGAAAATTACCCCCTTTGCTGCCATATTCTTGAGTGATTCATTTCTACAAGCACAAAGAACAAGGGTCTAATTCTGTGTCTAGGTTAACCCAGGATAGCTGCTTATTTGGATGATAGCTCAGTATGCTTCCTATGGAAACCGAAGCCTGACCTATGCTGAGTAGTTTAAAGATGACAGTTAATGACCATGGTTTGAAAATGTTTTAATAACTGTAAAGTATGACAGATATTGTTTATATCTTCATGCCCACTGTAGTGTAAAATAGAATTTCTTTATTTAAAAGAATCCATCTGCACTCAATGAAAATTCTCTGTGCTCTACATTACCCTCTGTCTGCTTCTGCACGAGTCATACTTTATAATGATCTCATTGTACAATAATCTCTCTTTATAAGACTCAGGACCCTTTTAAGGCAGGCACAAATATTTATATTTGCATCAATGGCACCTAACAAAAACCTAATTGAGTGACAAATAAAATAACCACTGAATGAATGAACCATCTTTTTATTTTAATGCTTACTTGACAGTATCTCACCTGTAGCTCAGAAACCTACATGTGAGTGCTCATCTGCATAATTGAATGTCTACTTTATCTAAAATTGATTTTCAGAATTTTGTGCTTCCAAAATACTAGTTTCAGCTGTGCCATGTAATCCAGAGTAATAAAGTGGGGTGATATCCATTAGAGAAATTTTCCAACCCTCATTACCCTGAAGGCAAAAACGTTTCTAGAAATAGAAAACTGCTAAGGATTGAATGTAACAACATGATTATCTTCAGAAATATGAAAAGACTTGAAAATATTGCTTTCAAATATAATGTAAATCCTAAAGGGCACCTCGCTAAGTTGGATTCTGTTCACACTGATGATGAAGAGTTGTTGTAAGTCTCAAGAGTGAAAGCCACATGACAAAATGTTAAATCAATGAGTCTCCATTTAGGCATTCAAGAAATATTTACCAAACACCTAACACAGACCTAGCATTGTATTTGAAAAATATGGGAAATGCAAAAATGAATCGATCTGAATTATATTCTCAAGGGCCAAGTACCATAGTTATATAATCATAATATAAGGTAGAAGATAATAAATATGACACAGGCAGGAAACATTTAAGGAGTATTTGTAATAAGGAGGTAACTAGTTCTTACTACTTGGCAGCAATTTGGAAATGGGGGAGAAAGGTGGAGACTGCAGAGTTCCCAAAAAGCTTTTAGTCAATAATTGACATTTAAGCTCAGTTAAAGTATGTCCAGTTCAGAGGGGGAAGCATATTTATGGCAGTTAGGAGACACTAAATACTTTATTCTTCCATTTGTTTGAAGTGAAATTTGCTTGAACATACATAGCTGAAAGTAATGTCAAAAGTTAGACTGGAGCCAGATCAGAGAAGGCCCTGAATGCCATTCTGGGAGAAGATTTATTCATTGGTCAGGCACTTGTTTTAATGGTTTTAAAGATTTGGAGTTGAAGGTGAAAGGCAGAAATAAACTTTATCTCTGAGCAGGTTAATTAACTGGATGGGATTTCATTGCTAACAGGTGAGAAGCAATCAATATTTTTCATTTCACGCCAGAAAGTTCTCAGCTCTTTAATAGATTTATTCTTTTAAATGAGGTTGTTTTCCGTTTATATTTCATTACATACAGAGATTCTGGGGTCATATGAATTAGATGAAGAGTAGGGGAATGAGAGGCTCTAAGGAATAGTCTTCAAGAAGAAATATTAGAAAATGCAGTTTCAGAGAAGATTTATTATGGAAGCAAATGCACTTTTTTTCTCTGACCAGGGAAGCCCATGCTAGGTTCTCTTGTTCCTTACTTATAGAGTACCCAGACTAG